AGCAGTGTTCCGGCCCGGGAAGCAGCTGGGGCCAGGGCTGCGGGGACTTCTCGGACCGGATTACAGACTCCAGCCCTGCAAACTGGAAGACAGAAGGTGGGGGATACAGGAGTCAGGGTAGGGGGTTGGGATGGGGGGCTCAGGGCAGGAGGGTGGAAGGTGAGGGGATACAGGAGTCAGGGTAGGGAGTTGGGATGGGAGGACTCAAAGCAAAGGTGCAAGAGTCAAAGCTAAATTGGGGGAGGGGCCTCATGGTTGGAGTTTGGGGGTACAGAAGTCAGAATGGGGTTGTTGGATGTGGGGGGCTCAGGGCAGGAGATTGGGGTGTGGTGGGAGCTCAGGGCAGCTGGTTAGCTTCACCTTTGCTGGGATTAGCCTTTCACCGATTTAAAAAAATTCCCCCAGCCCCTGCTGTCTCCCCAGCAATCCAGAATTTAGAAACACTCTGCATGATGCAGCAAGTTTCTTGTTCATTTCCCTTTGAACTGGCCTATCTCCTCACAGCCATCTGCCTTGGTTGCTTTTCATATCCTATTATTTCCCATATACCCTTTGGTCTGTTCTTGATCAACGGGACTTTTCACTTCCGTGCTACCTGCTCTAACTTCTTCTCCATGCCTTTAGCGGGGAAGGAAGGAATCCAACCGCTCCGCTGTTTTTGAACCCTCATTTATGTAGAACTACAGGTTGAGCCACTCTAGTCTGGCACCCTGACCAGTGCTGAACCAGAGAATTTGCCAAACCACGGGAGGTCAGTGTTGTCTAGCAGCATCAACAACCCTTCTGCTGTTTCCTGGGCTCTTCGAAGACATTTGGGGTAAATTAGAACTAAATAAGAGCACAAAATTCTGACAGCCAGGAGTGGTGGCTGTAAACAAACTTTATGGGACGGGGAGAAATTTGGCCACACCCATGATAAGTGGACATTGGACTAACTAAAATCATGCTGGATCACAGAGGTGGCTGGGCCAGAGAGTGCCGGACTAGAGAGGTCCAACCAATAGTTGAATCATTCAATGTCTATAAATGTAACCTCTATTTTTTCAATCAGGATTTATGCAATAAGCGCTGTGTTTTCTATGAATCAGTTTGTTATTTAATTTCCATAGATTCATAGATACCAAGAAACTACTGTGATCATGTCTACATCGATGGAACTTCCCTGAAACAATTTCTGTTTGAGCTAACTAAGGGTGCGTCTACACAGCGGCGTTCCTTCGGAATCACGTCCGTTTTTCCGAAAGAACGATGAGAGCATCTACACAGCGAGGCCGTTATTTCTAAATACTTTCTAAACAGCAGTGGCTTATTTTGGCGTTTGCAAACCTCCTTCCACGAGGAATAACGCCTCTTCCAAAATAGCTCTTTCAGAACCGCAGTCGGGTAGACGCCCCACGGCTGCTATTTTGAAATAGCGCCTCCTGTTGGCCATTCAAAGTAATGCTTTCTGGGGTTCTAAATTGGGGTAGCACGTCCACCTTAGGGGAGGCTGCCTCCGATACATTTCCAGGCTTCCCTGTCATGTGGTTGTGCTATCATATCATATATATATAGTAGCCCAATGTCTGTGATGCTGAAACGCTGACTGTTAAATTAAATTAAAAAAATTAATGGAGATTGCCTATCTCCTAGAACTGGAAGGGACCTTGAAAGGTCATGGAGTCCAGTCCCCTGCCTTCATAGCAGGACCAAGTACCTTCCCTGACAAATTTTTGCCCCAACATCCCTAAATGACCTCTGCAAGGATTGAACTCACAACGCTGGGTTTAGCAGGCCAATGCTCAAACCACTGAGCTATCCCTCCCCCTTGCTCCCTCTGGGTAGCTCTGTTGCCTCCTGCTGTGGCACTCGGCTGACTTCTGTGCTGCTCCGCCAGGCCACCGCGTGGGAGCAAGCGCCATTTGGGGTCCGCGCTCCCCATGCAGCACAGGGGAATAGTTTCATGTGCACTGAGGCATGTGCAGATGTGCCCCACCAATAGAAACCAAAAAAAACCTGCCTGGATCCGTGTAGCGCACCAGATCTCAGTGCCGTGCCCCGGGGCCAGCTTCCTGTGGGAGGGCCTGGCGGCTCCTGTGCATTTATCTCTGTGAGACACATTTTGAGGGGGGCCTCGGCCCAGCTTGTCAATTCCTGCACCAGGCCCAAATTTGCAACCTCGGGTCTAAGTGTGCGCTCGGGCCTTTCGCTTGCTAGGAGTAGGCAATGCGCATTATCTGCTGCTGGCAGAGCTGTCCCGTCCATAGGACGAATTGAGGTGGCTGCCCCAAACCTTGCACTTTTGGGGGGCCCGGGGTGGTTGTCCCAACCGTCCTATGCACGGAAGGGACCCAGGGGATTATGGGAGTGTGGCACAGCTGGGGTCACCCGCCTGCACTCACTACATGGGCAGCGGGAGCCAGAGCGGCCCAGACATCTGCTCCGTCCTGCCACCCTCCTAGCCCACTGTGTCCTGCTTCTCCGCAGTACCCCAAGGCACTCCTCTTCCTGCCACCAAGGAGAACTGGCAGGGAGCGGGCCAGGAGAGGTGGCACCGGGGGACAGAGCAGGCTGCCAGGCCGCACCTGCCACCCATGTGGTGAGTATGTGTGTGGGGGGGGACCCCTGCTACGGTCATGCCAGGCCCTCTAATCCCCTGAGATGTGATGCTCGGGAGAGGGGGAAGGGTGGAGACACCCAGGAGCGATTCAGGTGCCGCCCAGCTGATTAGCAGAGCACCTGCAGCTGATAACAGCCGGCAGCATGTGTTTCTATGGATGGTGCACCTCTGCACATTCCTTGGCACACAGAACAAAATTTATTCCACACATAGATGGAAAAACTTAGAGGGAGCCAGGGCGGGGCTTGGAGAAGGGGTGAAGCGGGGCAGGGGTGTGGGAGGGTTTCCTCAGGTGCCGCCCAGCTGATTAGCAGAGCACCTGCAGCTGATAACAGCCGGCAGCATGTGTTTCTATGGATGGTGCACCTCTGCACATTCCTTGGCACACAGAACAAAATTTATTCCACACATAGATGGAAAAACTTAGAGGGAGCCAGGGCGGGGCTTGGAGAAGGGGTGAAGCGGGGCAGGGGTGTGGGAGGGTTTCCCCCCCCCCCAAGACGATCCTGACCGTTGGTACCTTGTGATTGGATGCAAAACCTCACAGGGCTTTCTTTCCATTCCTGGGGTGATTTGACGCCCTCTGGTTCATAAAAAGGGGAGTTTCTATTTTAGGGGGGGAGAAAAGTTTCCCCCAAACTCTCATCGCTGGGGTTCAGAGAATTGGCAGCGAGAGGCGGAAGCCGTGGACGGGGATTGAGTGAGCCACCGGTGTGAAACTGAACGGGTGACCCCAAAATTAGTTTCTTCGGGAGCAAGAGGAGTCCCTAGTACATGGCATGTGGAGCTAGGCTCCTTTTTCTCCTTCTCTCTCTCACTTTTAGGATGCCAGAGGCGTATTGAATCAGTACGTGGCTTCTTCGCACCTCCCCCCACTGCACACACACTTCACAAGGCAGGGCAGTGGCTGAAGGACACATCTCCAGTGTTACACATCTGGGGGCGATACACATCTGTATGGCAGTGGGTTGGTCAGTTGAGGTTTCTATCACAATCTCAGCTTTTTTTTTTTTTTTTTTTTAGCTCGCTTGTGGTTGCATAAAAAAGCATCAAAATACGCCCTTGAAGGGCTGAAAAATTAGAAGACAGGGAATAAGCAGAGGTCAGAAGAGACCAAGGGAGGAAATTTTGCCCAGTCCTTGTGTGAGAATGGTGGTGAAAATCAAAGAATCATAGAACTCTAGAACTGGAAGGAACCTCGAGAGGTCATCAAGTCCAGTCCCCTGCCCTCATCACAGGACCAAGCACTGTCAATATTATCCCTGATAGATATCTATCCAATCTACTCTTAAATATCTCCAGTGATGGAGATTCCACAACCTCCCTTGGCAATTTATTCCAGTGTTTAACCTCCTGGAAAGTAGGAAGTTTTTCCTCGTGTCCAACCTAAACCTCCCTTCCTACAATTTAAGCCCATTGCTTTTTGTCCTATCCACACAGGCCAAGGAGAACAATTTTTCTCCCTCCTCTTTATCACACCCTTTTAGGTACTTGAAAACTGCTAGCATGTCCCCTCTCTGTTCTCTCCTTTCCAAACTAAACAAGCCCAATTCTTTCAGTCTTCCTTCATAGCTCATGTTTTCAAGCCTTTAATCACTGTTGTTCTCTGGACCTGATCCAAATCTTTCTTGAAATGTGGTGTCCAAAACTGGACATACTACTCCAAATGAGGCCTAATCGGCGCAGAGTAGAGCAAAAGAATGACTTCTCGTGTCTTGCTCACAATATTCCTCTTCGTGCAGCCCAGAATCACTTTTGCTTTTTTTGCAACAGTGTCACACTGTTGACTCATATTTAGCTTGTGGTCCACTTTGACTCCTAAATCCCTTTCTGCAGGACTCCTTCCTAGACAGTCAGGGTACGTCTACACTACATGCCTCTGTCAGCAGAGGCATGTAGATTTGTTTATTCAGCAAAGGTAAATGAAGCCGCGATTTAAATGATCGCGGCTTCATTTAAATTTACATGGCTGCCGCGCTGAGCCGACAAACAGCTGATCAGCTGTTTGTCGGCTCGCGCGCTAGTCTGGACGTTCCCCCTGTCGACATCAAAGCCCTGGACTGATGATTCCCGCTCGGGAAAAAGCCCTCTTGCACAAGAATCCTTGTGCAAGAGAGCCAGGATAGACAGGGAAGAACTGTTTTGCGCACAAAAGCCCCGATGGTTAAAATGGCGATCGGGGCTTTCTTATGCAAAATCGCGTCTCTACTGGCCACGGATGCTTTTGCGCAAAAGCAAATCTTTTGCACAAAGGCACTTGCCAATCTAGACGCGCTTTTGCAGAAATACTTTTAATGGAAAAGGATTTCTGTTAAAAGTATTTCCGCAATATCATGCCAGTCTAGACGCAGCCATCCTATTTACCTTAAGCCATTTCTCCAGTTTGTTAAGATCATTTTGAATTATGACCCTCTCTTCCAAAGCACTTTTGACCCCTCCCAACTTGGTATCATCTGCAAACTTAATAAGCATCGAGCCGACAAACAGCTGATCAGCTGTTTGTCGGCTCGCACGCTAGTCTGGACGTTCCCCCTGTCGACATCAAAGCCCTGGACTGATGAAGATATTGAACAAGACCGATCCCAAAACAGAACCCTGCGGAACCCTACGTGTTAGGCCTTTCCAGCATGACCGTAAACGGTTAATAACTACTCTCTGAGTACAGTTATCCAGCCAGTTACACACCCACCTTATAGTAGCCCCATGGAGATTGAAAGATTACCATGCACCAGTGTTCCCTGTAAGGTGAGCATGTGGGCAGCTACCCAGAGGAGATTCTGGGGTCACCCAGCTGATTAGCAGAGGGCCCATGTGTTTCTAGCAGTGGTGCACATCTACATATGCCTCAGTGCGTGGAACAAAACTTATTCCACACATGGATGGGAAAAAAATAGAGGGAACATTGCCATAGGCCTATGAGCCCAGCTGAGATCAGGCCCCATTGACAGAGGCAACCCCTACTCTGCCTCCATTCCACCCTTGTTGTGCTCCAGCTCTTCCCCCAACCTAGGTGGCCTTGGGAACTAGTGGGTCCGGGGGCCTAGTGCCGCTCACAACACACACTCACTGGCAGCAACCAGGGAAGCGGAGCAAAGCAGCCCCCACCAGCTCACTTTGCTCCCCCGGCCGCAGCCCCCCCCTTCCTCCTGCCAGTGAGAATGGGGGGGCTGGACCCCATCCCCCTGCCA